ATTTTTATTATTTCTGCTGGAACTGATCGAGATACATCCAGGTATTTATCGCAGTGAAACAGCTCTTTTCCTGAAGATAAAAAAGGGATTATCCTTTGATTTGAAGAAATGTTCTTGTCGTTTTCAAGGTTTCCACAAAAAGTTAGGGTGCAGCACAGCTCCATCTATAGGTAATCAAAATTTGTCTCAGATGTGAAGGATGAGGGGGACCTCCTGGGTCATGTTATGGTCCACTCCATTAAGACCCAGGGATCCTTATAATTAGCAGCGATGTATACAGCATATATCCAGACTGTGCTCCTATGTTCTGTCCTGATGTTCGTACAACAGAGGCTGGTTTTGGCACAGCTGCCCTGCAGATAAGTACACCACCTCTTGCCACGGTGAGGTTAAAAGAGTGTTACAGAACTAGTCACCCTGTACAAACTGTAGTTACAGCCTGTATGTCTGATCTTTGTGGCCTTCCCTGCCTTTGAATGCTTGAAAGAAGAGCTCTGCACTTAGTGGTCACCTAGCGACCATGTATACAATACAAGAGTGTTTTTCTCTTTTTCAAGTTACTACATCTTGTGAGCTGCTATTGAGTGTCAGGCTATAGATGAAGTTTTTCCTTTTTCCAGTGCAATGGCAAGCTTTTGTACATTTAAAACAAAAGTATCAATAGATTCGACCTCTTGTAATTTTATTTCTGTAGGTACAGAAAAGCAGTGTTCTCTATTTGATTGCTGGTTACCCTGGCTGCATTTGAGTACATCTGTGTTTTGTTATGGTTTTAACCACTGCATAACATTAGGACTATTACACAATGATTTCATTTTACTTCCATGCTAACTCCTACAGGCTTCAATAGAAATGCACACAAGAAGCAGGATTTAGTGCTAGCTTTACAACATATTTAATTGTCCTCTTTAAACATACAGCTTTTACAATAATAATGAGAAGATTTTCAACTGTTTTTGAAGATTTCTGAAGCCAGCAGGATTTCTGAAGCCAGTGGTGAGGAATAGTTATGGAAATAAACTGGTCTGTGTAATTAGGATTACTAAGCCTGAAATCAGCCTCTATATTCAGGGTTAGAGTAAAGCTGCAATAGCAGTTCACTAAGAAAATGTATCTTAACAAACCAAGCTTTTGAGAAGTTGGGGAAATTAAGCAAGCTGAAAACATAAAAAGTATTGGAGTGTCAGTGTTCTCAAGAAAGATTATCTATGAGATTGCCTTACCTTTCTGGCCTCAAAACAGATGCAGCTTCACTAGGAATAGTAGGAGAGATTATGTAAGAAACTGAGAGTAAAGCAAGACGCCAGTGGCATTTTAAGACTGGGTGAGGTTGCACTCCATAGACAGAAGTCTAGATGTTTTCCACAACTTCAGGTGTTTTCTAATACTGGCGTGGCAGGGTTAGTGTGTTGGGATTTAATTATGATGCAATGCTTGGTTTTAGTGTTGGAAAAAATCTGAATTGGTCTAGAAGTATAGCTTTTATGACTGAAACTATGCATTCTTACCACACAACTAACTTCTATGTTTATGTTTTCTTTCTGGAATGTATCCATTCAACAAACATTGAGTACTCAAGACATCAAAGATAAAGATGTGAAAATGAACATACAATAAGAACCCGAACTGTGTTCTTCTGCATGCTATTTATTTACATTAAAAGTTTTCTTATAATCCAAGGCTGTGTTTTCTCATATTTTATTTCCTTTTGACACATTTCATTTCTGGCACTTGTCTGTTGATTAGCAAAATACCAAATACTAGGGCTTAGCCTAGTTTTCACTCTACAGTTCAAATCAGATGAGAAGCAAGAATCATTTTGTTTTTATTGTATTCTGCCTTTCCTCATGAACCCATTGCTGGGAGGAGAGAAACCTGAAGGTATTTGTTCTAACTCATGCTTCCTTAGCTGCTCACTTTCACTCCTAGACCTTTCTCGCCATTGGGATGATGGAACATGAGAATTATTTGAACTGGATTATAGAATTGATCCAAGTTAAATATGCATTATTTATAACCCCTTTAATCCAATTTGCCTTGATTTAATATTGCAGTGTGCTGCAGGAAGTGGCACAGTGGAGAGAGAATGGAAGGACTGAGTAACACGGCATGATTGAGGGGGTAGGGAGAGAAAAACGCTTATCAATCCTACAGCCATTTGGAGATTGCTCAGTGTTCCCTGTGCAGTTTTGAAGGAACAGTACCTAGCTGAAGAGAAATAGAGGAGAGCTCTTTCTGAACAGTAGCATGGGGGAAAGTCATTTTTTTCCTAGATGGGAAAAGCAAAGGATTGTTATATTTATGGGACTTCTTCTATAATATAACTAGTAAATATGCAGGAGGAACATCCTCATGGTTGTGTGTGTGTGTTAGACTGACTTAAAACAAACAAACAAACAAACAAACAAAAAAAACCACCTTGAAATACAGCTAGCTATGTCCTGAGACTTGTTCCTCAGTGCTGAGTGGAGAACCTTAATCATCAATGATGATTAAGGATGATTAAGGGAAAATGAAAATAATCTTAATCTGTTATTTGTAAAGTCCCTGAAGAAGGTAACAGTGGGATCTGATTGCAGCTCTTTCTATACTTTGCCTCTCCTTAGCCTCTAGGTACACTTCCATTTGTTGGCGTTGGCTTGTTTTTTAATATCTACTTTCAATGTAATAGTCAGTTTTTGTGGGGAAGAACGTGTAGCCTAGCAAGGAAGAACATTGATAGCAATTTCAAAAACAGCTTGATTACATTTTGCTAACTAAACAAAGATGATTACAGTTGCAGTTGGAGCATAGATAGTATTTCAGTTTCATTTGAACAGCAGCGTGTGGTTGCTACAATGGTAATTTTAACCAAACTGGAAAGGAAAAAAGAATTCTATGAAAACTACAGTGAGTCACTACTTTCTCCAGCATCTCACAATACAGAAAAACTATCCATTTCAGTTACATTTCTTAATTAATATTAAATTAATTACATTTCCTTTTGCCTTAAACTTATAGGAACTTGAAAAAGCGATGAACAAGAGTGGTTTAGAGACAGATACAGAAAAATAAAGTTCTGTTGTTTTATTTGTTTTATTTTCAACCTCGAATCTTTCTTAGTCTAAACTGGCTGGAGAGTGTTCTTAAATAGCCGTTAGTGAAATGGGAATGACACACAGCACCCCATAACCACAGAGCAGGTGAGTGCTGTCTGTTCAAATAATCTCTCTAGCCTTCCAGGGTCAGACAAATTTAATATAATTTATTACTTATTTTTAAAACTTATTACGAACACTTACTTTTACTTTTCAAATACATGGTTAAAATTGCATGCTGGCACCTTGTGAAGAGTTTCTCCTCTGTTTTTTTGAGAAGAATAAAGCAATAGAAGCCCTGTTCTTCCTTGAAAGCTTTCAAAAGCTTCAGTACAGATGACTAGCTTTGCAGGAAGCCCTGAAGATCAAATAATCTGTCCTGAATTTGGAATTTCTTCTTACATTAGCAACTGGCTTTGGCTCAGATTTTTTATCTCATTTTTAAACTTTTATGGCTTCAAGCATTTATGAATGGATTTTTTTAAAAGCTGATTGCAGTTAATTGGTTGCTTAATTAGCTTGTTTAAAGCACGCCATTTTTCAGCATGCAACTTTCACTCACAATAAAATCAAAATAATCTTTTAAGGTGTACTGAGCATTTTCATGGAATCTAGAAGCTCTTTTCAAACTGGAAAAAAGTCTGAAACAAATATTCCTTATGCATAAGTAAAGAAGAAATGAATACTACTTCTGTGAGATTTTTATAGGAAGACATGTTGAAGGGTTAGTAATAAATACGACTGTAGGTCTGATTTTTTTTCTTTTTAAAATAACAAAAGCTGCTGATCATAAATGGAAATTAACTTCTTATTTAGAACAGTTATTTAATTGTAAAACTTACTGTCAGTCCTTATTTTAACATAGTCCATTAGATATCCTGTGTGCTGAGTCTGCCATCTGCTTTTCCTGCATCATATGTGGAGAAGGAAAACAAATCAACAAATCATGTGAATACCCAAAAAAATAAACAGTACTTGAATCAGCTGCACGAGGACAGCACAAAACCGAAAAGATATTCACTTTGGAAGAGCAACCTCTTGAAAGCTATCTGAAATTCTGTGACTGCTTTGTTTTTTGCCTTCACTGTGATCAGTATAGTCGAATAATTAAAATAACTGAATTTGAAACATCATAGAGTGTCTGAGAGTTAAGGTAGCCAAGAAAGATGTGGTTTTTATCATAGCAACAATGCAACAACCTTTGAATGTCACGTACTGCAGCCACAAAAAGTATTGCCTTGAAGCCTGTCACCTTATCTTAGCTCCCACGCCGCTCTCAGTTGTTTTGTTGTTGTTTTGTGCTACTTGTCTTTAGGACAATCTGTAGGCTGGTGCGTGGGAAGTTGACTTAGACTTTACTCAGGGTCTGGTGTAAGAGGAATTTATACAGGCTGCTGCTATAGCTCTGTTGAACTGTTCTGTGGGTATCACCACAGTGCAAAAAAATCAGGATTGAGAGAAGGCGGATGAAGGTCACAACAGTAAAGCATTGCTATATGAGGGTTATTCTTTGTGACATCTGGTTTTACGTATATATGAAACTACGCTATAGAGCAAGATTCCATCTCAAAGCTGAGACATCTGTTGCCAAAATTCACTTCGGAGAGGGCAGGGCTGGCTGCGGGGCTTGCCCGTTTCTCTACCGTGAGAGGAAGAAGCTGATGCTGCTCAGATTTTAAGTATACGTGATGTCAGAATAAATAGCAAGCTATATGAGTAGATACCCAACTTTACTCCCTGGCTTTCAGCCCACCTCGGAAGCAAGGTTTGGCGACAGCGCACTCACCCTTGCTGCTCCCCCTCCCCCTGGCCCCGCCCCTGCGGCTCCCCCCAGTCCCGCCCCGGAGCGGCAGGCGATGACCCATTGGCCCCCGCCCTCCTCTTATTTGCATAGAGGGGTCGAGTCCTCCCCAGGCCCCGCCCCTCACGAGTGTGCGGCCGTGCGCGCGCTGTTGTGGCACGTGAGGGCGGCGCACGTGGGCCCGTTATGTAAAACACGGGGGGCGACAGGGCGGGGAGGCGCCTGAATGCTGCGCAGGCGCGCCGGCCGCCCACTGCCGCGCATGCGGGGCAGCTCCGTGCGCAAGCGCGCGGGATGAGGGGCGGGGCCGAGTGGCGCTGGTTGCCCTCCTCCCGCGCCCCTCCCCCGGTCAGACGGCGGAGGTCTCGAGCGACAATGAAGCAGGAGCCGCAACAGCAGCAGCCGCCCGCCCAGCAGCCGCCCCCCGCCGGCGCCGGGGTGCCGGCCTTCCTCAGCAAGCTGTGGGCGCTGGTGGGCGAGGCGCCCAGCAATCAGCTTATCACCTGGAGCCAGGTGCGGCGGCGCGAGCCTCGGCCGTTGGTCGCCCCGCCCCGGCCGCGTGCCCCGCGGCTGCGGGAGGCCGCTCCTCTCCGGCCGCGGCGCTGCGGGCCCGGGGCCGGCGGGGGGCCGGGAGGGTAGCGGGGCCTTAGGGGGCTGCGCTGGGGCGGCGCGGGGCGGGAAATCCGGGCACGGCCGGGCGGGCCCTCAGCGGGAGGAGCGACCCCGGCGCGGTTATCCGGGGACCGCGTGCGGCTGGAAGCGACGAGCGCGGGCGGCGGCCCGGGGCCCGGGCCCTGCCGCCGGCTGCGGAGCCCGCCGGGGCGCGGCTGGGGCGGGGAGCTGCCGCGGGGCGCGGGCTGGGGCTCGGGCGGCGCGGCCGGCGCTGGCACGCGGCGTGCGCTGACGACGCGCGGCATCTTCCGCCGCGGCTCCACCGGCACGTCCGTAACGCGTGCAGTTGTGTAACGGCTGCGAATTGTGCCGATAAAGAACTGCGGGAAGACGGGAGAACGGCGCGTTTACATCCCTCCCCGCGGCCGCCCCGCTCCCCCATCTCGCGCGGCCACGTGGGGTGGCAGTTGCCGCGCTCGGGCTGGGCCGGCCGCGGCCACCTGCACGCGGTGTAACTGCGGGGCTGCCCCGCGCCCGGACCGCAGCGGCCTTTGTTCCGGTGGCCCGGATGTGTTGTGCACCTTCAGTGGACGGAGCCGGGCTGGCATCACCTCTGAGGAAGGCCCATGAGTGCCCGGCGGGTTTGGGCGCGGGACGGGGATTAGGCTGCTGCTTTCAGTTCCCTGATGTCGTGGAACCTGTAGTTACCATTCTGATGCGTGTCTGCTTTACCAGTAAATTATTCTTAAAAAAAAAAAAATCCCGTTGTCACACTGTGCAAGTGTCTTCAAATGTTGAGATAACAGTTTTCAGCTGAGTTTAACTCACGTGGTGGCTCAATACCCTGCAAAACGTTTTACTGACAGTTGGGTTTACCAGTAGCTTCAGCTTTGTTGAGGAGGGAACAGGTTCCTCAAAGAAGTTGTGGATGTCCTATCCCTGAAGGTGTTCAAAGCCAGACGGGACTGGACCCTGGGCAGCCTAATCTAGTGAGTGCCAACCCTGCCTACAGCAGGGGGTTGGAACTAGATGGTCTTTAAGGTCCCCTCCAACCTAAGCCATTGTGTGGTTGTATGCTGTCTACACTCCAGCAGCTTTCCTTCTGATTTTTTTTCCTCCTCTGAAAGAAAGGTGTTGAGGGTAATGTGTTGTCTAGCCTAAAAAGGGCCTTTTTTGCCACCTCATGCTTCATGGGTGCTTCCCAAATTCATTGTGTTTACCTCAGGTAAATATGCCAGGGACCATTGTTTGGTACCTTTATGTTATTTCCTCAATTAAAAATAAAGACTGAGTTTGAGATTCTGCAAGGAAGTTTGTGAAAGGAAGATATACTGATTGTAGTTCACATGATCAGCCTTTGGCAGCTTCTGTATGGATGAAGGTATTGGGAGCCCTTCATATACAAACGTTGGCATATTTGAAAAATATGCTGCCTTAGGTGTAACAGTGAAGAAAGAGTCCTGTTATTGTGACATTTCATTGTTTTCTGTACAAATCCATATTCTTACACTGTAAGGATGAACACTGAAGCAAAACCAGCCAAATTTTGTTTTCCTGCATGTACATCTTAGTGCAGGCATGGGCAGCAGGAGTAACAAATGAACATAGAAGATTGTTGTCTGCTGCTGTCAGTAACAACAGGACTTGAGAACCATGTTCAGGTACACAGTAATGCTTCACTGGGTTAAAGCTGGGCCTTAGCATCTGTTTACAGCATTGATGTAAGTGACCGTCGGGGCAACGAGGAACAATGGAAGTCTCTCTCTAATTTTCTGCACTAGGTTTGAGACTTTTCAAGGTGATAATGAAGTTAGGTGCTGCACAAAAGCTGTCTGCTGGCATTGCAGGTCGCTGTAGCACCACTTAAAACCTTCAGCTGGTGAGTTAGGTTATCTTAAAATGATCTGTTCTTACCCTTTCTTTTACTTCCCATTTTCTTTACACTGCCTATTTCTCAGCAGGAGATAGACATGCGTTACTGGGAAGTTAAGAGGTTTTTCGTTTGTCAGAAATGAGTTCCCACATCAGCAGTCTTCATGTGGTCTCATAGTTGGTTCTTGAAGCTTCTTTACTGGGGAGTATGCAGCTGCCGGGGGTAGAAAACAAATGGAGCTTCTTGAACTGAAGGGCTCCTGAGAAGATGGAGCGTAAGTACTGGCATTTGTCAAAGATTATAGGTGAGGTAAGAATATTGTGAATAGATTACAGATAAAACCTCTGTGAGTTTGAAGTCTCTAATTCTGATTCTGCCAATTACTTGTCCTTTAGTTAATGGAGCAAGATTATGGAAGAACAAAGAAGGGAGGCTTTTATTTGTCTCGGTCTGTGGATGTAATTTGAGGATCAGTTTATTGGGTAAAAGATTGATCCTCTCAGAGTTGGCACGCAGGAGGAGGGAATTATTGTCTTGAGTGCTTTTTGGTCATTTTGAAATCTTGTGGACAGGCTCAGCTTTTTGACAGCTCCATCTTGTCTATGAGTCTTAACAAACCAGTCATACTTTTATGCTGGGTAGCAAAAGGGATTTCAGCTGTGATTTGTTGGGTTTTTTTGTCCTACTTTGTTTTTGACCTTTCACAGTCTCTGCTGTATTTGTATTCCCTCTCAAGGCTTTGAAGTTCATACAGACAAAATTTATGGTATTATGCTGTAGTGAAACTGGTGCCTGTTGGTAAGCTTGTCTTTAATTAATTTCTTGAGGAAGTGTGGAGAGAAGCAGTGGAAATGTTCTCCTTTAGATATGGATGGCAATGCAAATTGGTAGTTCTCTGTTGCTTTGCAACTGCAGTTATACGCTTTTGTTGTGGAAAACTGCAGGCAAGCAGATCAGTTACGTACTGCATGCACAAAGGAAACATTCCTATGCGGTGATTAATTCTGCAAGCCCAGAGTGTGTTCTACAATAGTCTTAAGTAGCTTTATGTCTCTCATTTTAGAATGGCCAGAGTTTCTTGGTGTTGGATGAACAGAGATTTGCAAAAGAGATCCTGCCTAAGTACTTCAAGCACAACAACATGGCAAGCTTTGTCAGACAGCTAAACATGTGTAAGTTCTCCTGTTTTGTTTGTTTCTGTCACAATTAAAGATTCTGGATGCGTTTAGTTGTTATTTTCTTTTGAACAGTTCGTCTGTGTTGTTGCAATTAGAGTACTGTCTCATCCTCAAGACTGATAAAAGGACAGTTGGAACAATATAGTTTGAATTCCTTCGTGTGAGTTTTTAGATGCGAATGTTTTTCTTTTCTTTTTTTCTTTTTTTTTTTTTTTAAAGATGGCTTCCGTAAAGTTGTCCATGTTGATTCTGGCATTGTCAAACTGGAGCGAGATGGTCTAGTTGAGTTTCAACACCCATATTTTAAGCAGGGTCGAGAGGACTTGCTGGAACACATTAAAAGGAAGGTTAGTGAAAACTCAGTATATAAACCAACTATAGTAATTCTAAATGAATAGCAGAGTTCATGGCAAGTTTTAATTGTGGTATTGTAAGTCCAGCTGGATTTTGGTGCTCTCATATACGTTCTGATTTACTTAAAGTTATTCTGGGGGCTTTGACTATGCTGCTTTAGCTAATTATTTCTCTCTCATAGTGAGTTTAACAGGCAGCAAAAATGAGTTATGCAAATAGAAGGTTTAACAGATGCATGTTAAGAGGGCAGAACATGCTTTAACTTTACCATTGCTAATGTAACAATTTATTTTTTTATGTAGCTTGTTTCAGAACATAGCTGCAAGAAGTAAGCTTCCCACCCAGGAGAGCTGAAAGCAAACATATAAACATGTTTGTTATGCTGCTATTATAGTTCTGAAATTTGCTCTGCTGTTACTGAAAATCAGGTGAATAAGAGTAGATATCAAGCAGAAATACAATAACTATGGTGAGAGAGATATGCTTTTTAGCATTGGGTTAATTTGAAGCAGTTCAGATGTAAGCATTGAGTATATGCCTGGAGAATCTAACATAAACAAATGTTTATAATAAGTAAGGGTGATATGGCATCTGTTGTAAGAAGTCTCTGTTTCTGTATTTACATATTTGATGCGTGGTTTATTACTGATTTTAACTCAGTTATCAGCACTAGAGAAGTTATACTTGATCTTCAAAAGAAAATAGTAATTAACAGTGAGTGAAAGGAAGTGTTGTTTCTGAATTCTCATCTCTTAAAGGTTTCTTCTTCGAGACCTGAAGAAAGCAAGATAAGCCAGGAGGATCTCTCCAAAATAATAAGTAGTGCTCAGAAAGTGGAGATTAAACAAGAGACTATTGAATCTCGACTGTCTGCCCTGAAAAGGTAAATGCTTTGTCAACAGCTGATCCCTAAAATGGAGTAATTCTGGTAATAGATATTGGAGAACAAATATGTCATAAATGTAAGACCTAATTTTGATTTCTTAGTGTTCAACTTGAACTATTGTTGTAGGAAGATAAATTTCAGTAAAAGATTTGCATTAAAATTGAATATTTAAATATGACTAAAAGTAATAGGCAAAATTGGTGTTTGAAGAACTGTCTTTGATACTAGTTCCTTAATGCTGCTGAGGTGGAATATTCAACTAAGTTCTTAGCATATGCCAAATAAGCTTAGTTGTTGTGTTTAGTCTGAGGTAGTTTGGTTCTTGCAAATTACTTATGATACTTTCATACTACAGGTACTGTTCTTACTCATTGCTTTTTTTATTTTCCTCTTGCTGTCTTCATTCCTCAGTGTTGAAATTACAGGACAGTTAATCCTTATGAAAATTTGTTTGGAATTGTAACTTAAATTCATTAGTTACAGCCACAGATATGTAGAATCTAAAATCCAAATATAAATGGAGTATTTTTATAGTATTATTTCCTGTTTAAAATAATTATGTTTTGTTGTTAATAACATGAGCAGCGTGAGTCAGAAATATTTGTATGTGTAGACAGAGTATGTATATGAAGACAAGATTTATAGAGATAAGCTCTTGCACTTAAGGAAAGTACCTTAGTGGTAACTATCTCCAGGATTTCGAATTGTGAAAATAATTGCTTGCCTCTGTGGCAGAGATAACTAGTAAGTTCAAGTTTTGAAAAATAAATGGTTTCATTCACTTGGCATCTTCAGTTCTTATTACTGAAGTTTGAAGGGCAGACTTATTTTGACTAGGAAGGGTCTTTATTAGAAACTGGCCAGTCTAGAGTAAAAAAGGTTCCTATTTACGCTATTGGGTCATATAATTTGGGTTGGAAGAAGCCTCAGGAGGCCATCAGGTTCAAACCAGGGTCAGAGCAGTGCTGACTGGCTGAAATGACGTTTGGTTTCTAATGTCTGGACAGTTTGCGAAGATGAAATGATACAATGTCTTTGACATCTAAGTTATTCAGTGAGAATTAAATGATTTAAGTAAAACTGGATCTAAATCAGAAGAGCCAAGTTCAGAATCCCTGACTGCTGTTGTTGAATTTGTGATGGAACTCTACCTTTAAACTGTTGGATGTTTTAATCCTCAAACTGCTACTAAGCTGCATCTTACTGCATATCAACAACTGTTTATGAAAACTGAGCTTAAAGTTCCCTAAAAACATGAAACACTGGTGGAGAGATTTTCATCGTTTTTTGGCATACATCTTGAAAATTAAACTATGGAAGAGGGAAGGCTGGTCTGTTGTCTTTCCTTATGTACTGAAGCTTTTGATATTCATTATCTACTGATGAATGTGCTTTATGCTGTCAGAAACCACAAGGTTCGTGGGTATGATAGCAAGGGTCACTTTATAGCAGTTCTTATGCTTTCTCAGTTCTGGACTCTTGTGAGTACTGCCAAGGTTGTAAAATGACAGTGTTTCAGGAAAACTGCTCTCTACTGTGCTCATCACCTAATGTACCCCTTTACTGGAATTAATTAAAGGCAACCTGTAGCTGTGTGTAAGACTTGAGCTTGTTCTACAAAGATCTGTTCAAGATGGATGTACAGTTTCTGCTAGATGGCTTCCCTCTAGCAAGAGACGTGTGAGGGAGGGCAAATAGGTGTAATATAAATGATGAACTGCAGTATTTGCTACAGAACACTATTTTTAACCTAGTCACCACCATTAACTATACGTTTTCACCAGTGAAAAACATGTGCCTGCATGCTGTGCTCATAACAGTCTGTACCAGCAGAAGTGACCCACTGTTTCTTAGCTGCTATTTTACTATCATTGCTAGTAAGATGTTGCCCACACAGTCCATCTTTCATCTGCCTGAACAGATGGAAGTCACAAGGCACCAGATCCAGACTATACAGTGGGTGCAGTAGGACAATGCGGCCAAGGTTAGCATTGTGCTTCGCAATCTTTGGGCTGCTATGGAGCCTGGAGTTATCATGTTACAGGAGGTTGCCTCCCCTGACCTGTCTCTGGAAGTTTGATCCTTCAGCTTTATCAATGTCTTGATGCATCAGTTGGAATTGATGGTCCAGGTTCCAGGAAATCCAAAAGGATCACCCTTTTTCTATCCCAAAAGAGAGTGCACGTCGCTTTACTGGCTGAGAGCTGTGTCTTGAGCTTTTTCTTTGATGGTATATTCACATGTTGCCACTTCATGGACAGTCGTGCTGTTTTGACTTCAGGTCATAATGGTGACACTACTCATCACTAGTAATGATGTGATCCAGAAATTGTCACTTTCAGACTCATTGGTACAGTAGGTCCTGACAAACTTTCCTGTAGTATTTTCTGTTCCTTTTATTCATGGGACCCACCTGGCGCAAACTTTGAGATATTCCAGTGTTGTCACCATTGTTTCCAATGCACTGAAGCTCATACTCAGTGCCATACTCAGCTCCTTGATTGTAGTCTGCTGACTGGCATGGATGAGCTGATGGATGGAGATGCTGTTCGTTACCCAGAGCTGTGCATGGCCATCCAGAACACAGCGTGTCTTTGTCACTGTCACCACCACTGAAATACACCACCCACCACCTCACTGTGCTCACATCCACTGTTTGGTCTCCATATAAACATTCAGCAAGTGTCAGTGAATGTCAGTGGGTGCAATTTTTTCCACATGGAAGAATTCAGTGACACACCATTGCTTCATATGCACTTTCATTTCAGATGCCATTTTGTCAGACTGCCCTTCTGATGCCACCTGTTGCACAGCAACAAAATATAACAATATTGGTGGGATGGTTCAGCATCTACTGCCATACCACCACATCCATCTCTGATGTTGTGGGTCAGTGTGATAAAATAGGAGACATTACTTTCTGAGCAGCTCTCCTAGAATGAAAAGAAGGTAACTGTTGTTTGAAAGGGCACAAAACACCTAATTCTAAAATGCTGAAATAGTAGTAATGTGTGTAATGCATAACTTGGGGAAAAAGTGTTTTATGGAGTTTAGAAGTTCTCCTCAGGGTATTTGTTGTGTTTGGTTCTCCATTTTATAATTATTTGCAAGGATTGCTAAATGATTTTTTTCTGTTTGTACAATCAAGAAAAATTTCAGAGAGCTTTAATGAAATTAACTACTTTTTAACAAAAAATAATAATATGAATACTTCAAAATTCAGTTTGATTTTTAAATTATCCTTTTCAAACAGAGAGAATGAATCTCTTTGGAGGGAAGTGGCAGAACTGAGAGCAAAACACCTGAAACAACAGCAAGTTATTCGGAAGGTAGGGCTTCATTCAAACACAATCAGTGGGTGTTTCTGAAGTAGGAATACTCTGTGTTACTGTCCTGGTGTCAGCTGGAATAGAGCTGATTATCTTTGTAGTGTCTGATGTGATGCTGTATTTTGTCTTGAGGAGAAAAATAATGCTGATAACAGACCAGTATTTTAGTTGTTGCTGAGCAGTGCTGTACAGAGTCAAGGACGTTTCAGCTTCTTCTAGTGTCCTGCCAGCAAGGGGGGCTGGGGATGCACAAGGAACTGTGGGGGGACAGAACCAGGAGAGCTGACCCAGAGTGGCCAAAGGGATATCCTGTACCATATGGTGTCATGCACAACTATGAAACTGGGGCAGCTGGCTGGAAGGAGCAGCTGCTGATCGGGAGAAACTGGCTGGATGTTGGTTGATGGGTAATGAACAATTTCTTTGTGCATCCCTTGTTTTGTAAATACATATGCGCGTATGTAGATGTGTATATTTTTTTTGTCATTACCATTTTTCCTTTTCTATCTATTTTGGAAATTCTTTTCCATTGAAGCTAACTTTGTATTTCTAATGATATCAGAACAATAGATTATTGAATGGAAACCACTAATAACACATTAGCTTAGCTTGATGCTTAGATCTTTGATCAACCAAAACTGTTGTAAATTCAAAGAGTTTGCAGGTTCTTTTTTTTTTTTTTTTTTACATATATTTATATTACAGTAATACTATAAGCTGCAGATAATTACTGTGTCTTTTTTCCATGTTGTTCAGGCTAGATGTATGCATTTAATTCTTAATATTAAAACATGCAGGAAGAGAGACTGAGATTTCAAGGGGAGAGGCAACTGATAAATACTGTCAACTGTATGGGTCCTTTTTTTTCTGAATTTATCAAGAAAACTTTTCGGTAGGCCGCAGTATTGATAGATACAGGTTACACATATGGTCAACGTCCTTACATTGCTTATAAGAATTTTTCTCATAGTTGAATTTACTTTTTTTCTCTATACCAAATGAAGTGTACAAATTTATTCTTAGTGCTTGCTATGTGAAAAAGATACCTTGGTGCTTTGAGAGAAGCAATTATAGAGCAATGTAACTAACTATAATATTCTTTTCTTCATAGATTGTACAATTTATTGTTACCCTGGTGCAGAATAATCAACTAGTGAGCCTAAAACGCAAGAGGTAAGTATGGTCTTGAAATATTGCTAGCCACTCAGTATACTGACTTTTTTTTTCTTAAATAAAACCTAAGAATTAGTTCCTAGATGACTGACTTCCTTTTCTGTGATTTAGGCCTCTACTTCTGAACACTAATGGACCTACAAAGTCAAATGTATTTCAGCAAATTGTGAAAGAACCAGCAGAAAATAATCATCATGTAAGTTTAATTTTGTGCATACCATTTGTTATGGTGAAGAAAGTAGTGAAGAGGACCAGACAGATCGTGTCTTTCTTACTGAGGATAAAAATGTTGAAGAGCTTTCAACTTCTAGAAGTGGTATAGCACATTTCCTTCAGAAGCAAGTGTGTTGATAATTGCCATTCACTTTTCAATATAATCACATAGAAGCCACTTAACTACGTATAGCGTCATGGGAAAATGTGATAGCAGTTGCTTTTAATAGTAGTGCTGTTAAAGACATTTATGTTATGTTGTTGTCTTCTTGAGTTAGGAGGCACAATGCATGAACAGGAATCACCTGCAAAGCCTAGCCTTGCAGAGTCACGTTAAGTTCTTGTGCTGCTTGAATGTCCCACCATTGAAAGATACATTCTGCTGTCCAAATAATTCTGGCTGGGGAAATTATTAGAATTATTAGCTTGGGACTAGAATTAATAGCTTTATAATAAAGTATAAATGGCAGAACGTGACTAATAATAACTTTTTTAGTATTTTTAGTTCATTTGTAGTCTTGCCTTTGTAGCTTTTTGTTGCTTTTGTTGTCTGACATTGGTAGTACTTTGAATACCTTTATTATTTGCCAAACACTTTTTCTGTAACTGCTCTTTTCCAGCTTGCTCATTTATATATATTATTTATATATGTGTATATATTTCTATTTCTATTAAACACAGATCTGTACAAACTCAGTGTAGTCTCTAAAGTATAGGAAAACCTTCTACCTCTTTAGAATTGCGGTATTGAAAGATACAGTGATAACTGTCAGAACACTTAAGCTAATTGTCCTTCTGTCCCCTCATTCTTAAAAATTATTCTCAGGTTCCTCTCAACAGAACTGAGGGCTTAAAACAAAGAGAACAAATTTCAGATGACATAATTATTTATGATGTTACTGAGGATGTGGCTGATGAGGAAAATACCATGGTTGATGAAGAAAATGCTCCCATTACACCAGAGACAAATGAAGATACCACTTCAGATTCTTCTAAGTAAGAAGTCTTTAGAAGTCTACATAGAAAGTGGCTTCCAGTACTGAATAGTATGCAGTAATTCAGGTGTCTGGAGTATTCTTGCATGTATAGGAGCACGATCACCGAATTCGCACTAGATTTCCTCTGGATTTGTTCCATGTAGTTGACTGGCTGTAGGAGGTTTTAATATGTTGATAGAAACTAGTGAAAGTAATCTGTATTATTACATTCTTGTTAAATGTGCTATTTGTCCAAAGACAGAATCAGTTACGTCTACTTAATTTTTGGTTGTGAAGACAAGACAGCTATTCAGTTTCAAGAACTTTGGGTTTTTTTTGCTTTGTTTGTTTTGTAGTTCCAAGTGTTTTGTGACTGCATTTTATCTTTCTGTACTATAGAAATAGTTCATCTTTTACCTATGAATGCTTCAAACTTGGTTCAGAGATTAAGATGCATCTCTGTTCCTTGGTTGCGTGGTACTGATAGGACCTGTGTTATGCCACGAGAAATAAAATTTAGAGATTACTATCTTATACTTGAATTAACACTTGTGTTGTTGAACTGATGTCTGGGAATGCATTCTCTGTTAGAAAAGTTTGAGATTAGGTTTCAGTAGGTAACACAACGACTTCAGGGTTAAGAAAACTGAAAATATGGAGATAGCAAATGAAAACTGTTTTTTCTGTTTTTTACGTTACCTTTCTTGTATACATAAGAAGCTTAATTAACTGTAATAGTATTGACTGAGATCATTCATGTTATGGCTAATCCAGAGTTAAATTGTGTTTCACCAGAAAGATGCAAACTACTTGTGGTCTGTCTTGTTTGGTGGTCTTACGTGTTTTGTCCTACTTCATGCATAGTTCACATTTATGTGCAAGCTTGTACTTGTTATAATGCAAAAACATGAGAATTCCTATATGCTCAGAATAGTTGTTGTTGTTGTGACCTAGCACAACAGTATTTACTGGCTGAGCTGCATTAGCTCAGCATGTGTTACTGTGCCATGCCAGTGGAAAATAGGTATGTTTAGAACATCTGGCTGTATTTCCTGTTAAAATGCGGAAGGAAAACTAATTTCCATATTTTAGCCTGGCTGAAATGGAAAGTAACTAAACCTCCACATTTACAAATTTAAGAGTGTATAAAATATTCATAATTTATTTGTCTTGTTTTACAGCTGCAGTCGTTCTCCTGATATTGTAATTGTGGAAGATGATAACGAGGAAGAATATGCCCCTGTAATTCAAGGGGATAAAAGCACAGAATCGGTTTCTGTCTCAGCTAATGATCCCCTCAGCCCTGTCAGTGACAGCACAAGTCCGCTCATGTCGAGTGCTGTACAGCTGAATAACCAGTCAACTTTAACTGCGGAAGACCCAGTCTCAATGATGGATTCCATACTCAATGAAAATGGAGTAATTTCACAGAATATAAATCTCCTTGGAAAGTAAGTAGCCTGTTTAAGTATCAGAAATTATTGTTTGAAGTCAAAAGAACTGAATAGTGACTCCTAGTTGAGAACTTATTAGCTTTATTCTGGTAATGTAATTTGACAGTGAAATGTTGTAGATAACACCATTTAAACTAGTGTCGATGTCAGGATTTATCTGCAGGGTTCCTGCAGGCGGATTGGATTCTATTAGAACAAGTGGGATGCAGTTGTATTTCTGCTCATGGTAGTTGTAGTCTAATGTTAATGTGATTTCTGTTCTGGAGTACCAGTCTTCCTTACTTGGCCCCTCCTCTTCAGGGTAAGGTTTAAGTCTTTCCCAGGAGTTATTTTTAATGAAAAGCAGTCGTCATAGTTCTAGTGAAAATTTTTAGGTGATATACTAAATCTGTGCCAAACTTAGCTGTGATATCTTTTTTCTTCCTTCTTTTAATAGATGCAATATTACAATATTTTTTTTGTTTTCCAGAGTTGAACTTCTGGATTATCTTGACAGTATCGACTGCAGTTTAGAGGACTTCCAGGCCATGTTATCAGGACGACAGTTCAGCATAGATCCAGATCTGCTGTTTGATGTAATTTTCATAGAATCATAAAACGGCTTGGGTTAGAAGGGTTTTTAAAGATCATCTAGGTCCAACCACATCAGCTATGTACAAGGTTGCTGGATCAGGCTGTCCAGGGCCCTGTCCAACCTGAACTTGAATGCCTCCAGTTCTAGTGCCTAATGACTCTCTGAGTAAAAACTCCCCTAATATCTAATCGAAATTTCCCATTTTTTAGATTTAAACCTTTCCCCCTTGGTCTGACTCTATCAGGACATGTAAAGAAAAATTAGTCTCCCTTCTGTTTATTATAGAGCTCTTCTGAAGTATTGATAAGCTACACTGAGGCCTCCCCAGAGCCTTCTGTTCTTCACACTGAACAAGTCCAACTCTCTCTACCTTTGTAGGAGAGATGCTCCATCTCTCAGATCATCTCTGTGGCCCTCTGGACCTTTTTCACCAGTTCCATGTTCTTCTTGTGCTGGGGGCCCCAGGTCTTTATCTTAAGTATTGTAGAGCAGAGTTGTACAGTTGCATCCCTTGCCCTGCTGGTGACCCTTTTTGATTCAGCTCGGGAAACAATTGGTCTTCCAGGTTGCAAGCACACACTGGCTCCAGCTTTTCATCCACCAGAACAGAACTCCCAAGTCCTTCTTGGCAGGGCTGCTCTGAAAGATTTCTTTTTCCAGTCTGTATGCATCTGGGATTGCCCTGACCCAAGTGCAACAACTTACGCTTGTCCTTGTTGAATCTCTTTAAGTTCTTGTAGGCCCAATTCTCAAGCTTGTCCAAACCTCTTTAGATAGTATCATTTCCTTCTGTTTTATCAGCTTCTGTTTTATCACAGCTCTGCTGTGAGCAAACTAGCTGAAGGTGAACTCTATCCCACTGCCTAGGTCATTGATAAAGATGTTGAAGAGCACTGGTCCCAGCTGCTCTTCGTGGCTGGCTTCTACCTGAACCACATCCCTATGGCTGCTGCCATTCCTTATCCAGCCTTCAAATAATTCTCTTCAATTTTGAGGTAAGGATGTGGTGTGGGCCTTGCAGAAGTCCAGATAGAGGACATCAATTGCTCTGCCTCTGTCTGATGCCATCACAGAAGGCCACCAGATTGGTTAGATCTGCCCTTGGGAAGACATGCTGGCTGTTCTGGATCTCCTCCTCGTCTCATGTACCTTAACAAAGCTTCCAGGACATTATTGTCCATGATCTTCTTAGGCAGAGACAAGAGGCTCAGCAGCCAGTTGCCCGGATCTTTTCTCCCTTTCTTAAAAATGTGAGTGATATTTTCCTTTTTCTAGTCCAGGACCCTGGCATGTATGTCATCCAGCCCTATACACTTGAGCACATTCACTTTCATCAGGTGATCTCTGACTTGCTCTTTGCAAGGAATTTTGCTCCCTCCATCTCCTGTCCAGAGGTTCAGGGACACAGAGTGTAGAGTGTAGGAAGACTGACTGTCAATGAAGTCCAAGGTAAAAGATTTACTGAGTCTTTTCCATGTCTGTTGTAGTCAATTCTCCCTTCTCATTGATCAGAGGGGCTACACTCTCCTTGGCCTGTATTCTTCCTGGACCCCATGTCCCTGCTTCCACCTGTGCATTTCTTTCTTATCTATTAGTTTAACCAACAGGTTTTCAGCCATGCTGGTTTTCTGCCTCCTCTGCTTAATTTCTTATACTTGGAGTGGAGAGCACTTGTACACTCAAAGGCATCCTTAAAGAGCTGGCTGCTCTGCTCTGCTCCTTTGTCTCTAAAGGATAACTTCCTAGGGGATCTCATCCAGTAATTACTTAAACAGCAGGAATTTTGCTCTTTGGAAGTTAAAGATCTTGACTGTGCTCTTTGCTAGGCCGATGTTTCTCGAGATCATGAGCTCAATGAGGACATAGTCATTACAGCCCAGACTGCCTCCAATCTTAACCTCTTTAATAGGCGCATCTGAATTATTGAGCACCATGTCAAGTGATGCTTCAACTCTGGTCGGTTTGTCTGAATCAGGAAGTTGTCCTCAGTGCGCTCCAGGAGTCTCCTGGATTGCTTGCAGCCTGCTGTGTTGCTTTCCCAGCAGACATCCAAGTAGTTAAAATCCCCTATCAGGATGAGAGCCTGTGAGCATGATATTTCTTGTAGGTGGAGCAAGAAGGCCCTTGAACAGGCAGTGTGTGGTAGACCTTGACAGCCCCATGTCCATTATGAGGAGCTGTCCCTCATTTTTACCCACAAGCTCTTGACCTGGTCATGACTTCTTTAGAGGCAGTTCTTCATGGTCTATTAACTTCTGAACAGAGAGGGCAACTCCTCCACTCCTCCTGCCCTGCCTGTCTCTTCTAAAAAGCTTATAGCCCTCAGTCATAGCAGAGCATTGTGTGATTTGTCCTACCATGTTTCCATGATAGCAATTAAGTCCTTATTTTTTAATTGCATCATTTTTTCTTCTCCTTATTTCCCATGCTAAGTGCATTAGTGTAGAGACACTTCAACTGGACTATCAGCTGTGTTACCTTCTTGGAGGAGCCCTCTTGATTGCCTTTGGGACAAATTTTGAGGTTTTCTTGTGCTGCATTCTAAAGTGACAGTGTTTCCTGGCTCTTCTCTGTCACTCAAAAGTACATCCCCTCCCCCAATCAAAGTTAGCTTAAAGCTCTGCTAATCAGCCTAGGCAGTTTACTGCCCAGAACATTCTTGCTGCACCTGCTCAGTTGCATCTGATAATAGCTTTATTCCTGATCCTTCCAACATTCTCCCAACGGGCATAAAATCTCTTCTAATGTTTCAAAATATCCTTGTTGCAGCCTGATATGACCCAGCTTGAGTGATCAGGAATGGATAGTAGTTCTCTGGCTTTATCAGACTTGGTAGCCTCTTCTTGATGCTGCTGGGGGCACACATTTATGACATCAAATCTGTTTGATGATCCGCATGACAAATGGGTGCCTTTCAATAAGGAGTCCTGAATTACAAGCATGCTTTTTTTTTTTTTTTTTTGTGACACTGGTTCTGACTTGGGTCTTTGGTGGATGGCTGCATTAAGTTGGTCCATTCCTGGGTCTGAACCCTTCTTATGCCCTCTCTTCTTTCCAGCCCCAGAACCTTGTATCTGTTGCTTAAGGGCACTTTGGTGGCAAGGTTAAAAACTCCTTGTGTAAGTTGAGAGTCTAGTTTCCTTTACTTTGCATGTTTCTGTGGTCTGTCTCCACCAGTTTGGAAGCTGGCTTAGCTGGTTCTCCTTGCAGGGGCTTAAGACAGGGCTGTTGACTTGCTTGTGTCACTGAACACTATATGCATTAGTTTCTCTCCAGTTCCCATCTGGTGATTGCCTCATGCAGCCTAGCAGCTTGCACCCATGATACCCCTCTCTTCCCTCAGGCCCTTGGGGAAATTTCAGAGTGTGGAACTGAAGGTCTGGGCAGCTCGAGGTCTGTCTGGGGCGTGTGTTAGCCTGAGATGGTTGTGACTCCCAAGTCTGGGTTTCTGCCTCAACCTGTATGTTGCAGCAGGTGGTCGTCATGTTTATTTCAGTAGAGCGGTGCTCTGTGCTGTGAGCAGCCTATTGCCCTTCCTTCGCCAACTGCTGTGTGGTATTCTAACTGATGTGCCATGTTTTGGTTGCTTGTGTTCCTGGGGGACTTGCTCATGTTAGGGGTGTTATGCTGCTGCTCCTGGCTCTGCCCGTACCTCCTCAGCTGCTCTCAAATGGGAACTGGCAGGCCCAGGTGTCTCTCACCTTATCCTGGGGTCTCCTCCTCTGCTTCAGGACTCCCCTTGCACACAAGGATCCCCTGCTCTACTGCAAAACATATCTGCACTGGAGCTGATTGCTATGGAAAATGACCCAAATTTTCTGTTTATTTCAATATTTTTGTACTGTTTTGGTAATATATTGTGTGGATTGTTACTGTTTAAAATGGACAAGATTTTTTTTTTTTTGCCTTCCATTTAAAAAAGGAAAGTTATAAGTATTTGTGTATATGTTAATTTGGGGCATTGGTAAAACTAATACACAGCTGCCCTCAGTGCATGCTGTAGTGATGACATTGATTGAAACTTTTGAGTAATGGCTTTTTAGTGAAATAATGCTTGTATTTGTTGCTGTATGAACTCAAGATACTGATTAGATTAATAATCTTTCTTTGAAATAGCCTAGCACACTATCTGTCTTCTCCGTAAGCTTGTGCTAAAAAGGCTCTTTTATTACAAGTTTCTCTTGACATTTCAAGTTATTTCTTAGTAGTATTTGTATGTTCTTAATTTCTATTCAGGTTCATGTCAAGTAGAATGATTTGGTTGGGAGGGACCTATGTGGGTCATGTAGTCCAACCCTCTTGTTCAAAGGCTGGCATGAAAGATCATGTTGCTCTTGGTCTTGTCAACATGAAGTCTGAACTCTCCAAAGGGAGTCTGCTTGGGTGCCTGCTCTACTGCTTTGCTCTTTGTGAAGAATTTTCTTATGTCAGTCACAATTTTTCCTGCTGCAGCATGACTCTCACATCTTGTCCAGCTCTGTGGAGTTTGTCATCTCAGTAACACTTCTTTATTAGTAGTAGAAAAGTGCACTTAACCACCCTTGTCTGCCCTCTAAAGACAAAATAAGCCATGCTTCATCAGCCCATTGTATGTCTCATGCCCCCTAACCATTCCTCCAGACTCTCTAGTGTGAACATTCTCCTACTGGGAAACCTAAAACTGGTCACTCCCTGCAGCATGGTCATGCTGCTGGCTCATGTGGGATGTTGTCTAGCAGGACTCCACTCTCTAGGGAGCCATTCCCTGTCCGTTTGGTCACTAACCTGGGTTGGTGCATGGGGTTATTGTGTCCTTGATACGTTTGTCTGTTAAACTTGACAGAGTAACTGTTAGCTCACTTTTTCAGCTTGCTGAGATCCCACTTAACACCAGCTCTACTCTCCCTTGTGTTGTTGACTCTTTCCAGTTTGGTGTTTCTTGAAAACTTGTTTGGGGTTTGTTCCTCATTATTGTACGCAGATTTCTCCATGGAGCAAATCAAGAATGAATCGGTATTCCTAACACTGCAGCAAACAATGTTACTCCAAGTTAGATGTGCTTATAGTTATTTTCTTTATGACTGAAGTTTTTGTGATTCCAAACAATGTAAATTCTAACACTTTCTTTGCAAAAGTGGTAACTGCCTGTAAATAAACTTTAGTTGTGATTGGGGCTGAAAACATAGTTCAGGGATTGTTCTCACACACACAGATGTGACTTCTTGTATTTTTAATAGGACATTGAGATACCTAAAGCTTGATATGTTTTGTCTTATTCAGCTTTTTACAAGCTCCGTGCAGATGAATCCCACAGATCATATCCCTAATACCAAAGTAAGTCTTAAATCCATTGCTCAATGTACTCAGTAGTTGAGAGATGCAAACTTCTTTCATCCTTTACTTTTTTTCTTTACGGGTATAATTGCACTTTTTTTCATTCTTTTAATTTCAAGACTTTCGTAAGGATAGTAGAGCTGCAGGTGAGTTCATCCTGCTTGATAGGCTTTAAATAGGAAGGAGTAATTAGGAGCAAATAAGGTCATTTAGAACTGTTAGGCCAACACCTGTGCGTATTACTAGTCTTTTGTATTCTCTTAAATTTTAGAATTTGTGAATACATATATGCTTTCTCAGTAGGTTTTCATCTGTGCTGTTTGGTGGGAACCATTAGAATAAGCAGCAGAGCAACATACTAGCTCCTCGAGTTTGTCCTATTCATTTGTGAGTGTTAGTTCTTGTTTGAGTAAGTCTGTTTCCATTTCACATTTTTCTCTTCCAGGCGCTGTTAGTTCAAGTTACTGATATCAGTGCCTCTTTCACAGAATAGTAGGGTTTGGAAGGGACTGCTGGAGACCCTCTCTGTTAAAGCAGGTTCTCTAGAGTAGGTTGCACAAGAAAGTGTCCAGGTGGGCTTTGAATATCTCCAGAGAAGGAGATTCCACAGTCTCTCTGGGTAGCCTGTTGTAGTGTTCTGTCACCCTCGAAGTAAAAAGAAGTTCTTTCTTTCTCATGTTCAGATGGACCTTACAATGTTCCAGTTTCTGCCTGTTGTCCCTTGTTCTATCACTGGGTACCACTGAAAAGAGCCTGGCTCCATCCTCTTGACACTTACACATATCTACAAATATCTAAAGGTTATCCTCTCTCCTCCAAGCTGAACAGTCCCAGGTCTCTCAGCTTTTCCTCGTAAGAGATGCTCCAGGCTCTTGATCATCTTTGTATCCTGCTGCTGGACTTTCTAGTTCTTTGTCTTTCTTGAACTGAGGAGTCTGGAACTGAGCTCTGTACTCCAGATGTGGCCTCATCAGGGCAGAGTAAAAGGGGAGGAGAACTTCCCTTGAGGCTACGCTTTTAATATACCCTAGGATAGCATTGGACTTAGTGGCAGTGTGAGCATGCTGCTGGCTGGTAGCCAACCTGTTGTCCACCAGTACCCCCAGGTCGTTTTCCACAGAGCTTCTCTCCAGCTTGTCAGCTGCTAACCTGTGCTGATGTGTGCAGTTATGCTTCTGTAGGTGCAGGATGCTACACTTACCCTTGAAAGGGCAAGTTGAACCTCGCAATGTTCATCTCCACTCAAGTGTACTCTGCAGCCTTTCCTGGTCTTGCTGAATGGCAACACAGCCTTCTGGTGTGTCAGCCACTCCTCCCAGCTTTGTATCATCAGCAAACTTATTGAGGGTGCATTCTATCCCTTCATTTATGTCTCTGATGAAGATGTTAAACGAGACCAAACCCAGTACTGATTTCTGGGGAACAGTGCTAGCAATGGTTCCCCAACTATACTGCTGCTGATCACAACCAATTCTCAGTCCATCTCACTGTCTATTCCATTTTCTTTGCCACGCTTTCCAGGCTTACCCCTGAGGATGTTACAGGAGACAGTATCAAAAGCCTTACTGAAGTCAAGGTACACAACATCCACTGTTAGCTGTTCAGTCATGTCATTGAAAAAGACTACTAACTGGCCAAGGATGATTTCCCCTTGGTGAGCCCATTTTAACTACTCCTGATAACCTTCTTTTCTTTCACTTGCTTGGAGATGACATCCAGAATAAGATCCTTCTCAACAAAGGGGAGTTCTTCCTTTTTCCAGACTCTCTCTTCCAGTATCTAGTATGGCTGATGACCAGGCATAGCAGTAAGGGCTGAGGCAAAAAAGGTTTTTTTGTTTACAGTGTCCTTCATTTACCAGGGCATCTACCTCATTTGGCAGCAGGCCCACATTTTCCCTAGTCTTCCTTTTGCTATTGATAGACTTAAAGAAGCTCTTCTTGTTGTCCTTAACCTTCCTTATTAGATTAGAACCTTCCTTTAATTCCAGGTGGGCCTTAGTCTTTCACATTGCATCCCTGCATGCCCTGACAAGTGTTCCTGTATACATTCTAAGTGGTCAGACCCTTCTTCCACATTCTGCTGACTTTCATCTTCTGTTTGTGTTTTCCCAAGAGCTCCTTGCTCATGCATGCAGGTCTCTTGCTGCCTTTACCCAGCTTCTTAATCTCAGGGTTGCCGTGATCTTGAGCTTGGAAAAAGTGGTGCTTTAACGTCATCAGGTTTTCTTGGGTTCCTTTACCTTTCAATGCTCTAACCTTACGGAATGCCTTCAAGTGAATCCTTCAAGAGGTCTCCTGAAGGCCAGGATTGCAATCCTAATTATTACACTGTTTTTTCCACACAAGATCAGAATTCTGCTATCTTATGGTCAGTGCAGTCAAGGCTACTCCTAGTCTTCACATTCCCAACTAGTCCAGAACAAGGTCCAGCACTGCACTTCTCATCTCCTCCACCACTTGTGTTAGAATCATCAGTGCTCGGCAGGAATCTGGACTGCGTGTGCCTAGCAGAGCTGCTTTTCCAGCAAATACCAGGGTGATTGAAGTCCCACCGTGAGAACAGGTGCCTGTGACTGAGAGATTCTTTTCAGCTTCTGTAGAAAGCTTCATCAACTTGCTCTAACTGATCAGGTGGCCTGCAGTAAACAGCTACTGTGGTGTCACCTATATTAGCATGCCTCTTAGTTCTTTCCCATAATAAGCTCTCAATTCATTCATCATTTATCCCTAGGCAGAGCTTTAATATATTACAGTTTTCATAACGAGAGCAACTTCACCATGTTCCCTTGCTGGCCTGTCTTTTCTGAAAAGTACATAAGTATCCATGAGCTGTACATACTTGCACATACTTTGTGATCACAGTGAGATCACAGCCCTGTGACCGCACACAGGTGCCTCCTTCTTCCTCTTTATTCCCCATGTTGTGCAGTGTGGTATGTGGGTGCTTCAGAGAAGGAAAGGGGAGCTGAGAATGCTGGTTTCTCTGGAGGGATGCAAGAGGATCTCCCATAACTATACACACCTTGATGTGGCTGGCCTTCTGCCTCATGTCATGGGAGACAGCTCAGGAATGTTTGTTACTGTTCTGGTTGGCCTGGCTTACTCTCCAATCAGTTGCAGTGTTGTGAGCCCTTTTGGACCTGTTCCCCAAGACCTTCAGTTTAAAGCCTGCCTTCAAAAATACTTTTTCAAAATAGTTGGTGAGCTAAGTTTTAGTGTCATTGCAGTTGCATTAAAGAGGCTTTAAGAGCATGTTTTTAGATTTAACTTTATTTTCTAGATGGAGACAAAGGGAATAGAAACTACCAAGAATAATGCTGGTCCAGCTGCTTCACAGGAAACACAAGTTTCTAAGCCTAAATCAGGTTAGTTGTAATAAGTGTTTTTTTTTTTTAATGTTTTAAGAGTTGAGTAAGTATTGTTCTCACTGTTGCTATCAGCGTGGCGCAGGTATGGACAAACATTTAATATATCTGCTTTTAAGGTTGCTTAATGGCACTGTATGAAACTGATGTTTTGTAGGAGAATCAGAATAATTTCATATAATAATTTCATATAGTAGTTCTTTAATCATTTTAAAACAAGTATACAACTTTTTAAAAAATTCTTAATCTTTTAATAAATAGTAAGGTGTTGCTTTTTTTTTATTATTCTACATTTAGAATGGAATGTCAACTGATAATGCATTGGGAATTTTTTTTTTTCCCTTAGATAAACAACTCATACAGTATACTGCATTTCCACTGCTTGCATTCCTTGATGGGAACCCAGGCTCCACTGTTGAGAGCGGGAGCTCCGCAACTGAAACTCCTTCCTCTGTGGACAAACCCCTAGAGGTGGATGAGCTCCTGGAGAGCAGCCTGGATCCCGAACCCACTCAGAGCAAGCTGGTGCGCTTGGAGCCGCTAACGGAGGCAGAAGCAAGTGAGGCCACGCTGTTCTATTTATGTGAACTTGCCCCAGCACCCATGGACACAGACATGCCATTCTTGGATAACTAATGTAATGGGGACTATGTACATTGTCATGAAGAGGAACTATTTATTTAGAATATTGTTTGGTATGAGTTTTTTTGTAAATCACTGTTTTATGTAACCAGATAGTGTGGAATCTGAAATACCTTTGCTATCCTACAAGCAATTGTTTAGCTACAGTTAGACAAGCTGTTAGACACAGTTGGCAATACCAAGTTGGACTGTTACAGTACTGCTGTCAAATGCTTGGTATACCTACGCATATCTCTAAATACCTGAGGTAACCAAACACTTGTTAAGAGTAAGCTTCAATTTATGGTTTCTTCCACTTCTGGTCTTACATATAATGATGATGACAACTAGTAGTGTATGGTTAGGGAGCACTGACTTTCTGTATCTTTTTTTTTCTATTTTCTACAATATTTTGTTTAATAAACATAAGGCTTTTTTGGGGTGGGGGGGACCAGGACCTGATGTTAGGCTTTTTTTTTCCCTGCTTGAACTGGGAACAAAGTGCCTGTACCTTGCTAAATCTTGGTTCTGCCTTACTTTCACTTCAGTGAAAGTGCTTATACATAGCACAAACTGGGGAAGAAGTTCTTTACAGCCGCCAGGCCCCTTGACTGCATGAGTACTTAACTTGGACCATCTACTCTGATAAAATAAATGTTATGTAAGTAAGTGTGGTAGCTTAAGAGTTGTCTCTTATTCCCTGTGCCAAGCAGATATGAATTTAACAGCTGTGTTTTTACTGTGCCAAACTTTTTTCTATACACATTTATTGGAAATGAGAGTCATCTGCAAATCTTGAGATTAATATAAAAGAAAGATCCCAACAGCAGTATAACTATTAGCTAATGTAGCAAACTAATTTACTTTAGTAACATACAACATATTACTTTCCTCCTTTGGTTCCTTACAGACAACTGCTGCAGAGCCCACTTGTTCCTTTCTGCAGACACACTTCACCTCTATTCAAAATGTGTATTTACTGTAAGGTTTCCATTCTTATTCAAGTTGTTATTCCATCTTCATTATATAACTGAACAGCAAAAGGTATTTATGACCACTGTCAGTGACAAGTTGACATTACAGTAATCAACTGATTTCACTGAGCATCTGATTTAGTACAAGAAGTTCAACTGTAACTGAAGATCCCTTTTTGCCCTCAAAGCTGTAGCTACAGCAGTTTGTGAGAAGCTTCAGGGTAAGATGTCCCAGTAAAGTGATAAACTATTGAGACAGGCAGTAGGAAAAATGCCTTTATACTAGAAGCATATTAAAGCTGTTGAGTTTATCTTTTTAAAGGCATAGTCTGGCCTTTTCTAAGAGTAGCTGAATTTATGTTGACACAACTGACTCCTCGCCTTCCTTTTTCTGTGAAGGACCAGTTAGTTAGAGGCACTACAGTGTAATACCAGTTAATTATTATATCAGGAACTGCTGTATTAAAACAAGCATTAAGGTATTTTACCTAAGCATAAAAAAAAAATATAATGCAGCTCAAATTATGCTCTGATCCTGCTGTAACTGCTTAAACAACTAGTATAAGACATTTTAGTGTTTTGAATAATATGGGTGCAGTGACAACTTGAAAAGCTTCACCCAGGCTTACATGTGATACAAGAAGTCTGAGCTGACACAGTGTATATTTTGCAGCATTGTCAGTTGTTACTTTTCAACTCCCACATACTTGAAAATGTCCAGGGAATGTAAGATCTGAACACACTGTCAGAACCATATTCTAGCCACACATTCAGAAGCAGTACGAGACATGAAAACTAATTACACAGTTTCATCCAAATTTATTTAAGGTAACAACATATTCCAGATTACTGAAAGCCTTTACTAATCCTTTCATTACCATCTCAAGTTTGAATGACATGTCATACTTCTGTGCTAAATGTCAGTATGAGTTATAATAAAAGCTTAGAAAAGAATTAGCAACAAGAAGTAACAGTATAAACATCACAGTAACAGATAATCATGACATCATCTAAGTGCTCTAGGGTACCTCCGACCAGACAGCTCAAGTCTCAGGTCATAGCAAGTAAAGGAAAAATATAAATAATGCAGCTTACATACTTCAATTACAAAGCAGCAAGCACAAAAGCATTTAATTTTTCATAACTGCACAAAACTATACAGTATTTTAATCAAACAGATCTAATGTTTTACCTTTTGTCTAGAACTACTTTCTAGGCTCAACTTTATCTCTGGTAATGGACAGCAGAATACCCAAATCAAAATGTAGAGCCTCGAGTATCTACAAGATTTTTGTTAATGCAAGCCTCCTCTAGTTACTGCAGATTGAGTGCTTCTTCTGCTTCTATTTGAATCATTATACCACAAAATCTCTGACGTGTTAACAGTGTTCACCACTCAGCTCCTTACAAAGTCTGTGATTGTAACTTAGCCAAGAAAGTGGCACAAAATCAGCAATAAATTAAAGCACAGCTATTCCACTTAAACTACCTAAAAAAAAAAACAACGTTGATGCATATTGTAAACAGGTGTCTTAAAACATGCTTCTGAGCATCTGCTACCAGAATATTTTTTTCCCCAATCCTGTCTGCAATGGGACATATCAGACACACAGGAAGATGTCAGCCTCTCCACAATTTCAGGTACAAGTTTCCCTATTTAACATTTGTGCTAAAGGTACTGTGCTGCCCTTAATACAAGGCCAGGCTTTTAGTGTCAAAATGATGCAACGTGTCCTGTAAGTACTAACACACAGTTTTGCATCTAACAATGCTAACTCAAGATTACTTTGGAATCAAGGCAACACGGATTATCAAAGGCAGCCCCTCCTTCCCTTGCAAAGCCTGATATAATACTATTTTGTTAAATTAATTAACACTTGCACTTCATTTCCCCCAGAGAACTATTTAGTTCAATTGAGGGGTGGGAAGAAAGACATACTTCCAAAAGGCCTTGATCTTCTAATGCTCCCAAAGCACTAGATCTAGGAATAATCCTATGAAAACTATCATTGTAGCAATTCTTCTCACTGAGCTCAGCCAGAAAGAGCCATTTAGTGAAGTGACAAAAAGACATGGTTCAAGGTGATCATGCAGAGTAAAGCAGGGTATATGCTACACAGATAGCACACGCACACATATTTACAACTACACTATAATCCTGAACACCGTTTGTTTCAAAAGACATGGTGAACCTAACACCATCTTCCCAGGAGAGCAATACAGCTCCCTTAGTCAAAGTCACGATTTGTAAGAACCAGTGGAGCAACCAGAGTCCACACATACAACACAATACCAATCCAGCTGGAAGATATCTTCACCCAGACAGACGGCCATTTGCTGGTCATTGTCTCATAAGTAGCATCCGGACTGTTGAAAGAATTAAAAAGATGATTTGCAATTTTTGTTGTAATATGGCAATCATGTACTATTCAACATTTGCACAGTCAATTATTTTAATGTCAGCTTAACACCTCAAAGGATGCCTCCTCTTTACTTCCTCCAATTAGCTCACACCAATCTGTATGAAAATACCATTTGCAAATTGTGGAAAATAACAGCAGCCCAAAAAGTACTGAGTAAGAGAATCTGTCGAGCAGAAATAACTACTATAAACATCTGCAGAAAGAAGACTTGGATAGCATTTATGCTACTGGTAATTCATTTTAGGTTGTGAAAAGACACACCCTAGGAGAATTAATAATCTTGATATCGCATTCATTTAAGCAGAGCCATGAATCAAACCAAGAACAAGACTATCTATTAGAAGTTTTTAGAAGAAAACACCTTTCTAATTTCGTTATTTTAGTACAAGCAGTTCATCAACAAATTATTAGAGATCTTTAATTTGTTTTAAATTCTGAATAGTATCTGCTTAAGCTGTTCACATAACATTAGTAAATGTTATACAACTATAATACATTCACATGGGCCAAACAGTACACTTCTCAAGGGAAGTCCCTCTCAGAGCCACGTTCCTTCTGGTACATTAGTTGTGCCTGTTTGACCAGCTAAATGTACCATCTTGCATAAGACTGTTAGCGTATTGTACTATGAAATGTAGATACCTGTACCAGTTGGTAAGTGTCATCATGATATACAGCGATGCCAGGAAAAGCATAAAGTGAAAGAAGGAATAGCTGTAAGTAACTCCATCCCTTTCGTTATCTATGGCACGGTGAACATCATCTCCATCATCAAGGGAGCCGTCGCTCCTGGGCATTCCATCCTCTATCAGAGTTGATTCATCACTGGTCAGCATCAGCTTGTTAACCTGGCTGTTATTGGATGTTCGAATGCTGTATTTGACAGGAAAGGATGCAGTACCATTACGCAAATGAATATAATCTGTCATCTGACAATCAGAAGTATATATATATTTTTTAAAAGCAATCTTACCTCGAGTAGAGAACACACAGCAAAAACAAAATCAGTCCTACAATTCCTTGCGCATCCCACCACTGCACTACTTGACCTTGGGTTGGAATGGTGGTGGTATTATAACCAATGATGCTCAGCAAGCTTGGGTTACAGCGCCTATCTGTGAGGGAAATTACATTAAAACTTACATAAAACAAAACCTGAACAAGTACTTAAAAGTGTATTTCCATACAGAACATTGAGTAATAGCAAGAAACGTCGTGATGACCATTAAAGTTTTGAAGCATAAAAACTTGAATTTTAGCCTACAGTGTCTCTATAACAGGCCAATGACAGTACAAAAACTTACACAGATTTGAAATCCTTTATCTGTCCTGAGATACCTATTCAAGTGTTTTACTTTTGCCATCTGATATAAACAGAAGCAACCAAGTAAAAGTTTTCTGCATATTAAATCAAATAAATTCTATTGCTAGAAACCAAGTAAGCCAACCATATTGTCTACAGATAGGTATCAGTCATCTCAGAGTTAAAAAGAATGCTATAAAATTAGTTTCTTATACCAACAGTTCCCAACTTCAGCATCCACACACAACACCTAGATGTAACAGCAGAAAGCAGACTACTTTTCCATAATTACTTCAGGACTAAATGTAACTACTATCTCAGGATTTAGTCCTTACACAGGAGCACAGAAGATTGCCTACAATTAAGGTTAAAGGCTACTTCCATGCCAGAGACAACTTAAGGCACTGAAATCAATATTTGGTAGTTTATTTTCATCAGTGAAATTGATGATCTTTTTTTGTTTTTAAGACATCTGGTTGTTTTCAGGCAAGCATGTTACAACATTACTACATTGAAATAATTCCTCTATTAGGAAAAATATCATCAATAACATTTCAATACCAAGCAAGAAACTTCAAACCCAGTATGGCAATATCTTTGAAAGAACTATTTCTTTAGTGTTATTGCAGGAAATCAGAGCCATGGGAGAAACTTGTGGCTACACACATTACAGGACCCCATTCCAATGCTGCCTTGCAAACAGGTGAAGATAGAATTTATAGCTGAATCATGTACCTAAAAAGCCACATACTGTTGCTACAGTTACCTGGTTCATTGGTCATAGCTGACCAAGTCAAATACATCGTATAGATGGTAATCACAGAAGACTGCAGCAAACCAGATCTTGGCTGAGATTCCTGTATGAAATAGCCATGAAACAGCAGTTAGGTAACTCAAAAGTCTCAAGTATGATTATATCATGGGTTTCCAATAATGAAAAATAATACAGAAAACCAAGAAAATAACAAAACTATACCTGAATC